TCTCTAGATGTACTCTTTGCAGGAAGAGGTCCAGCTGAGAAGTAATGTGAGAAGTTCCAAGAGAAGGGAGTGTCTGGGAAGCCCACCTGACTCTGTTTTCTTCTTTCCTCAGATGTGAACGAGTGTGAGACAATCCCCAATGCAATAGATATAGCACAATCCCTCACTTCAGAGGGAATCCAATACTCTGGTCCATGTGGCCTTCCAAGTTGTGCTCCTTAACTTAACTTATTTGAATTCTGTTTGTTACACAGCTGTTAAAGTTTTTAAAAAAGCTTTCTTAAACCAAGAGAGAGATCAGTGATCTGTCTAACGACAGTACTAGATGCCATGATGGGCAGTGATGGTTGGAGTGACTTTTCCAGCCTTGCTGCTTGAGATTCTCTCATTGTGGATGTTTAATGTTGGACCTGAAATGTATATGTGCTGTGCATGTGTTCTGCAATTGTGGTGCAGAGGCTCATCAATAAGAAAAGTAAAAATCCTTTCATTTATGCTCAAGACCTTTGGTCATACGAGCGTAATAACTGTGCTGTCTTTGTACTCTGAGGGGCATTCAAGGCAGTTTAGTGTGTACAAAAGAAAAAAATATACAACAAAGCCACATTGGCCATAAAAATAGCAACATTAAATACCTGCAGTTAAAATTCTAAACCATAAACACTGTGGTGCCAGTACAGGAGGACAAAAATGCCAGACAAACATACCTAGTATTGAAAAGCAAGATTCGAGTCCAGTAGCATCTTGAAAGACTAACAATATTTGCAGGGTGTCAGCTTTCGAGAGTCAAAGTTTCCTTTGCCAGAAACCTTTGTTAGATATCCTTCAAGCTTGAATTCAGTATAATATCTGGGTGTAGTACTTCATGTACAAAGTGGCTGTACTGTGAATCAATCAGTCTTTATTTGTTACGAACATAGATCAGCCAAGATTGACTCACACGGAGAGTCATCAGCACATCTGGCCATACTGCGTATGTTCTGTGACTTACTCTCTAGGATGTAGTTATGGGTGTGGTACCACATCTACATCTACAGCGGAGGCAGTTTTCCAGTATAGTGACAACTGTAGTTCTTTGCAGAGTGGACACTAGTAAAGAAATACGGTGTTGATCGGAATATTTCGGTTAAAGAATCATGCCCTGAGAGGTGACAACCTCCATGTATGTTTTTAAGTTTAGATGCTCATTCATAAGAGTTTTGGCCACTCAGCCCAGGTTCAACACTGGTTGGTCACTAGTAGCTCTAGCTATTCTTTTAGAAGGGATCTGGTGTCTTGCATCTTTGTTTAAGTTTAGAGTTTTATGACTAACAGCCCTACAACGCAAAGAGGAGTTTTTGTTTGGGGAGCATCTTTATTTTTTTAAATGTTTATTTATTTACATGTGATTTATATACCGCCCTTAACCCCTAGCGGGTCTCAGGGCGGTTTACAATGTGCTACTGTATAGTAGCGAATAACCTATCTAGGGCCACATATGGTGCAGGGGAGGGACAACCTACCAGCACCCCTAATACGGCACGGTGTTCCTTCGGCAGCTTTTTCTTGGTGTGAGTTGTTGCTGTTGATGTTGTTCTGCGACCCGGCTGCTATCGGCTGGACGAGCTGGCTGTTGTTCTTTTTGGAGCGGCGTATCTATCCTCGGGCGCAGCCTCGGCAACGTCCAAGCGGCTCCTGCCGCGCTGCGTCCCGCGTTCTGACGTCGTTCCAACTCTACGGCCAGCTCCGCCCTCGGCTCCGCCTTCATCACTGCTCAAGCCAGTCACCGCCGTTCTGCTCGCCTTTCGCCGTTTCTCTGCCGCCGCCATTTCTTTTCCTCGTTTGCTGCCGCCGACTCGATCCTCTCCTTCACTTTTCTTCACTGCCGATCACCAGCACAAGGCTGGGAAGAAGGGGTGCCCCCTGCCATCTAAGGCAGGTACCCATTCCTCTAATGTTAACAGAGCCGCTGGGTTGCCCACAAAATTATTGTATTCCATTTTCATTATTCATTTTGGATGATGTTCTATTGTAATTGTGTTTTTTAAAACACATTTGGATGTAATTTGGATGATGTTCTATTGTAATTGTGTTTTTTAAAACAAAAAACTAACACCATTGTCCAAAAACACAATCCCTACCTCCCAAGTGTATGATCTTCACATTTTAAGCTACTTAAATGTCACTTTATTTCTCTATTTCAGCTCTTCCTGCAAAAGATTTATTAGCAGTGTGTATCTCGTTGTGGTATCACTTCAGCAAATTTTATGCATTTCCACTCCTTCAGTTGCAAAGAATGGGGAAAAAGGGGGCCAGGATTACTCCTTGAGAAACTTAACTGGTTGCTCTCTTTGGCTTTACCTTTTCATTGCTATCATCAGTCATCTCTCTTTCTAGCTGGCTGTATTTCCCAGCTCCTGCTGTCTATATTAATGTCTATCTTTTCAATTTTCTTGTATGGTTGTACTCTTCATAGAAATCCACATTGAGTAAATTAGTTCAGTTTTGTGAATCCAGCATCTAACCTACAGAGAGTGAAGATGGATAGAACAGTTTAAGAATAGTGGAAGTAGTGCCATGATTACCCTTGCCTTGAATATACTCTTAGTCTGTTCTGAGATAAGCTTAAAAAACCCCTGTTCTGCAGGTTTCCAGCATAGCTCAAGATGAAACCAGGGAACAACCAGCTGTGCTGGGTTCCTGTTGCTCAGCACTTGTTACATTACTAACTCATTCCCCATCACCCATCTTCAGTGCAGTTTTGTAACTGATTTTACTTGTGACATTACTAACTCATTCCCCATCACCCATCTTCAGTGCAGTTTGTAACTGATTTTAAAGTCTGGAATATTTTGGGGGATGATAAAAGATGAACACATACTTGTGTCTCTTAAAGCACAAACAAACTTTAGACCATCTCCCCTGAGGCATTGTGGGGAGGGGCATGACTAAATTCTTGGCCTATGGAGAGCAATTCATTGATCCAAAGTTCAGCTTGCTGGTGTGTACACCAGTGACTCCATGTGTGAAGCCAGGTTCACATCCCAGGTGAAGGAACTCTCACTTCTTAAAATGCTATATCCACCTTGGAGCAGGCTAAAATATCTTGGCATGGTTATAAATCCTTCTGATCAATGTTAACTGGATGTCATCATAAGCAACATCTGAAATTAACAGCCTCAGGATGTCACATAATGGCTTTTACAAAATGAGAAGTATCTCTCTGTGTTGGATTTACTGTTCTCAACTCATCAAATGAACAATTTTGTGGATGGTGTTTGCCTGCGGAAAATAAATTTGTAAAGAATGCACTTAAAACAATTATAAGTCCTTAATGGAGAACCCTGAAACTCGTACAGTATAAAGGTGCTATAGGATTGAAAGAAACAATTCTGCATTCAGATGCATGTAAATGCAAATGTATATAACTTGCTGCAAACTATTTTACTTCTAGCAATGTTTAATAAGCTGCTATTATTGTAAAACTCAATCTTTGTGTCCCCCGTCCCCCCTGATTTTATTGGGTGCTTAATAATATTCTAGGCAGTAAAACCTGAAAAACTCTTTCCATCCTAACACTTAACCTCTGGGGTTGAAACTTTCCATGCTTCTGGACTGAATTTAGGTTGCTGCTTCAGAATGTTGTCCAGAACCACTAAAAACTAATGGGAGTTCTGTCATTTGCTTCAGTGGATTGCGCCCATATCGAGAAGGTTTTGCCCAGTAACAGATATCTGTCTTTTCTCATCTTGGAAGTCAGCTAAACACTGTATATGTTGATGTTTCACATTCTGCTTTAAAAGTTGATAATAATTTATACTAAAAAGCTTAGTGTTCTGGAGTATATGGTTATTTTATGTCTGAGGAAAAAATGCAAACAATTTAATAGTTGTTTCATTTAATATTGGGTACCAGTGTCATGGGAGGGAAGGTGGCTTCGCATAGCCCTATCTTATCAGATTTCAGAAGCCAAGCAGGGTCAGTATTTGGATGGGGGACCACCAAGGAAGACTCTGCAGAGGAAGGTAATGACAAATCACCTCTGCTTCTCACTTGCCTTGAAAACCCCTTGCTGGGGTTGCCATAAATTGGTTGCAATGGTGCTTACATACATACTGCTGTCATAGTTATATTCCTAAAATAAGTTAATTGGCTTTCAGACCCTACAGCATCCCTGCAGTCTAAAACATTATGCATGAGGTGGAATTTTGCATGACTGGTCTTTAAAGCAGTTTCTCCAATTAAAATTACTCTTTATAAGAGTCTTCTTATAAATTACTCTTTATAAGAGTATTCCATCTTTCTGTGTTATACCTGTGAGGATGCCAGTCACAGTTACTGGTGAAACGTCAGGTTCTACAATGCCAAGACCATGCCCACACAACCCGGAAAATCTACAGCAACTAGTCTTGTAAAAGTTGGAAGGTGGGTCTTTTTCCTAGTACCGCTCACTCAAAAGTTACCAGGTATCTCATGAGGCTCTGTTCTCAAGAACATAATCAAAATAAAGCTATGGACTTGTGTAAGGAGGGTGTTCTTTACCATATGTATTACAAAACAGAAGTGCATAGCACTGTTTTTACACCAGAGGATTGTGTTCTGTGAGGATATCCCACCATGGCTGCTTTTTCCACCTTGACAAACATTCATACAAGTAATGCAATCTGATCTGATTTTCCTGTGTTTATCTCCTCTCTGGGTCACAGTTAGTTTGGTCATTATAATTTTGGCGATCCAACCACACTAAGGGGGAGAAATCCTCTTGATACTCACAGTTTTCCCATTGTGTGAATAGGTGCTATGTATATTTTCCAGCTCACTTAATATCTGGGGGTACAATGTGTGGGGAGGAACGTTTAATCTTCCCATGTTACATTTGTACATCCCTGCATATATTTGGTAATGTATGCAAAGGGAAAGTTGTGACAGAGGGGCAGACATCTCTGGTTTTGGAAGTCTTTGGACTACCCTTTCTTTCTCTCCCCAGTAGCTGTAACGTGATCTCCCTTAATCTTTTACAGACCAGAGCAGAGCAATCCCAAGGTGCCTACTTCTTGCCTGAGTTTGCACTTTCTCCGCAAGGAAGTTTCTTGGAAGACACTACAGGAGAACAGTTCCTTACCTACCGCTACGATGATCAGGTTTGTCTGCAGAATATGAAAATTATGTTTCTCCTTCATTTTTATCGTTTTCTTCAGGAAGTTCTTATGAACTGTGTGTTCCTAAAGCAGGCCGTTATGTAATGCCTGGAGCAATATAGGCATCTTCTGACAAAACTGCAAGTATCAGGAGCTTGCCAACCTCATGTATGTGGATCGTGTGCTATCAGTAATCCTCCCAATATTAATGGCCACCTGATTCAGTTTTATCTGGAATACGCACCACGTGTATTTTCTGTTTCTGTACATACTCCAGTGTTGTTTCAGAAGAAATGGTGACCGTGCATATTGGGTGGATCGTGGGTACCACACATGCTTCTAGTATGCATGGTTGCATACCCTGCGATGGAACATCTGAAAAGGGCAGCAAATCATGTAGCAATTCAGGTAGCAACAAGTAGTGATTGATTGATTTAACCAAGTGTGTTTGTGTTCTCTACCACCCCTTGCAATGTCTTGGAAGTGCATATTGGGTGGATCTCTGATATGAGGGGACATGTGGGGAGGAAACTGAAAGGAAAAGTAGAAAGGGTCAAAACCACTGGGGAAACTTGGAAACTATTTAAAACTACAATCCTAGAAGCTCAAAAAAATATATATTCCGCAGGTTAGGAAAGGCACAAACAGGTATAGGAAAAAGCCTGCATGGTTAACAAACAAAGTAAGGGAAGCTGTAAAAGGTAAAAAGGATTCCTTTAAGCAGTGGAAAACTAGTCACAGTGAGGCTGATAAAACGGAACACAGGCTATGGCAAATAAAATGCAAGTCTGCGGTCAGGCAGACAAAAAGGGAATATGAGGAGCATATAGCAAAAAACGTAAAAACCAACAATAAAACTTTCTTCAAATATATTAGAAGCAGGAAACCAGCCAGGGAGGCAGTGGGGCCCTTGGATGACCAAGGGGTAAAAGGAGTACTGAAGGATGATAGGGAAATGGCTGAGAAGCTAAATGCATTTTTTGCCTCCGTCTTCACTGTGGAAGATGAGAAGTGCTTGCCCACTCCAGAATCGCTGATTTCGGGAAGGGTGTTGAAAGACCCGAGTCAGATTGAGGTGATGAGAGAGGAGGTCCTAAAACTGATAGACAACTTAAAAACTGATACCAGGCCCAGATGGCATACATCCGAGAGTTCTGAAAGAACTCAAATGTGAACTTGTAGATCTCCTGACAAAGATATGTAATCTTTCCTTAAAATCTGCCTCCATTCCTGAGGATTGGAAGGTAGCAAATGTCACTCCCATCTTTAAAAAGGGTTCCAGAGGAGATCCGGGAAATTACAGGCCAGTCAGTCTGACGTCGATACCGGGTAAATTGGTGGAAACCATTATTAAGGAAAGAATTAGTAGGCACATAGATGAACAAAACCTATTGAGGCAGACTCAGCATGGGTTCTGTAAGGGAAGATCTTGTCTCACTAACCTATTAGTGTTCTTTGAGGGGGTGAACAAACATGTGGACAAGGGGGATCCAATAGATATTATTTACCTTGACTTCCAGAAAGCTTTTGATAAAGTTCCTCATCAAAGGCTCCTAAGTAAGCTCAAAAATCATGGGATAGAAGGACAAGTCCTTTTATGGATCAAAAACTGGCTAATTAATAGAAAACAGAGAGTGAGTATAAATGGGCAGTTCTCCCAGTGGAGGGGGGTAAGCAGTGGGGTACCACAGGGATCAGTACTTGGTCCACTGCTTTTTAACTTGTTCATTAATGATTTGGAGTTGGGAGTAAGCAGTGAAGTAGTGGATAACTCACTGAAAATGTTGAGACAGTGTGTGACTGCAATAAAGAAGGCCAATGCTATGCTGGGGATTATTAGGAAGGGTATTGAAAACAGATCAGCCAATATCATAATGCCCCTATATAAATCAATGGTGAGACCTCATTTGGAATCCTGTGTGCAGTTCTGGTCACCACACCTTAAAAAGGATATTATAGCTTTGGGAAAAGTGCAGAAAAGGGCAACTCAAATGATAAAAGGGTTGGAATACTTTCCCTATGAAGAAAGGTTAAAGTGCTTAGGGCTCTTTAGTTTGGAGAAAAGACGACTGAGGGGTGACATGATTGAGGTTTACAAGATTATGCATGGGAAAGAACAGGTAGAGAAAGAGGTACTCTTCTCCCTTTCTCACAATACAAGAACTCGTGGGCACTCCATGAAATTGCTAAGCGGTCGGGTTAGAACGGATAAAAGGAAGTACTTCTTCACCCAAAGAGTGATTCACACATGGAATTCACTGCCACAGGAGGTGGTGGCGGCTACAAGCATGGACGGCTTCAAAAGGGAATTAGATAGGCATATGGAGCAGAGGTCCATCAGTGGCTATTAGCCACAAGGTATAGATAGGGGCTCTGGGGCAAGTGATGTTCTGTCTTCTTGGTGCTAGGGGGGGCCAACAGTGGGAGGGCTTCTAATGTCCTGGCCCCACTGGTGGACCTCCTGATGGCACCTGGTATTTTTGGCCACTGTGTGACAGAGTGTTGGACTAGATGCGCCTTTGGCCTGATCCAATATTGGTGTCTCTTATGTTCTTAAGTGAAATACCAGCATTCCAATTTGTAAAAGATCATGGAAACACAATAGAAGTGCAAATCAAATCAATAAATTAAACACACCAATTATAATGCCAGTCTTACAAAAGCAACGAGTTGTACAAAGAGCAACCAGTTTCATGTGGAAAAGATAATATAGCTATTTGACAGCAGCTGCTTTGGGAACCTGTGCAACTTCCACTGAAGTGGAGAGGAGATTTGTAGAAGAGGTTTTGCTTGTACAACTTTTTGAAAACACACACAGAGCTTCTTTGGACCGTTGGTGTGTCAAGGCCAATACTGTCTATTCTGACTGGCAGCCAGCTCTCCAGGATCCCAAACAGAGGTTTTTCAAACCACCTGATCCTTTTAAGTGGAGATGCTGGGGACTGAACCCAGGATCTTCCACATGCAATGCAGATGATCTACCACAGAGCCACGGTCCCACCCAAGGTGAAATCTAGCCATGCTGCATCTGGCTATTGGTCACTCAGGGTCAGCACTGTCTGCTCCATCTAGCTGCTCTCCAAGATCTGGGGTGGAAGTTTCTCACATCACCTTCCACCTGGTCCTTTATTTGGAGATGCCAGGGATTGCAAAGGAGATGCATGACTGCTCAGCCTTTTGAATGGGTTATGCCCTATGTTAATGAGTGGGTGGGGGTAACCATTCAAATTTTCCATTTAAGATTTTTGGGGGGGGCAGCCTTTAGATGCTTATGTTTGTAAGGGCCTGTGAAAGGGGATTATTTTAGCAAGGAGCTTTATTAAATCTTAGGACCATGCAAGCATTTTAGTTATCCAAATTCTCTGGTCAACAATGCATATGATAATAAAGCTTCTTGTTGGGAAACAGAAGTATTGCTCCAGCTGTAAGCTGGGAATGTCATTTGTGCATGGTGGGGGAGGGACAAGGATGGCCTTGGGCAATTGGGTCCAGCACTGGCTGTCAGCCAGTCAGCTCCAGCAGCCCACCTCAGGAGCTGACCCATCGCAGGACCAGTGGGTTGCAGGACTCTCTCTGGCTCGGACTGAGAGGAGCAGGCTGAAGAGGCACTGGGCATTCAGCAACTCTTTCTCAGCAAAGACAGCTTAGACCCACAGCAGCAGAGGGTGAGAGAGCTGAAACGCACACTATTGTCCAGTTACCTCCTCTGTTCTAAACTGCTTGAAGCTCACCATTGCCTCCTTGACATTTCCATCTTCCCAGTCTCTTATTTGGACCCATTGTTAAAACAGAGGACATAACCCTCACATCCCAAGGAAGAGACAAGGCTCAGAGCACAAGGCACCCACAAACCTAAGTATCCTAAAGGTCTCTGGCCAATGATGCATGATAATAAGGCTTCTTGTTGGGAAACAGAAACACTGAAGCCTGCCTACTGTTAGCCTGCCAGATGAGATGGCTCTTATGGTTTGATCGAGCAAGGCAAGTTCTTACGTTCTCTTCATGTAGGATTTTGGCAATAATGAGAAATTTTCCATAACTTAAATATTTGTGAATGTAGTTAATGAATGCTTATCCTGAAGTGTATATATTAGCATATTACTGTCTCACATTTCTGGTTTATTTAGAGATTGTTGAAATCAAATGTCTGAAAAAGGAAAATTGCAGAGAGAGTGTGTTTAGTGGAAGAAGGAGGGCATCTGGAAAGTAACAGGCCATGTTTCATATAATTAGACCTTCAGTGCGTACTCCAGAAGCCCATAGATACATTACATTAAACATGGAATAGAGATATAATGGCTAAGAAAGCAACATGAAAGAGACCCTGTTAATCTTGGCAAAAGATCTGAAGTAAATCTAGGAAGTGTATGGCCCACTGTGGAAACTTACAAGACAATATGTTCCAGAATCCCATTGAACTTCACATCAAAACACTGGGGAATGCACTGATAGGCAGTCAGCGTGAGGTGCTAGACCATTGTGAATAAAAGTGAAATGTACAGGCCTCGAGTCTGTGTAGAAGTGAAAAAGGGGGCTCCTCTGCCCCGCCCTTTCCTGCAGTATCTGAAATGGGAAGTTCTGTTGGGGATAACAACTTCTTGTGTGTTTGGTTGTGTGTGTAATTGTATAAATCAATAGATTACCCAACTTCTCAATAGTACTGATCCTGGTAGGCAGCCATGTTGGTCTGAAGCAGCAGAACAAAGTTTGAGTCCACTGGCACCTAAGACCAACAAAGTTTTATTCAAGGTATGAGCTTTTGTGCGCACATACACTTCCTCAGATACATTGAAATGGAAGTTAACAGTCCATACATATGGCAGACAGTGAACAGCAAATTAGCATACAACATAATGAAGACGTTTTAACAGAAGCAAAGACTCACCAGCCCACAACAAAATGAGAAAAGTTTTAAAAAAACTGGCTGGAAGTCAAACCAGTGGATGTCTTCAGTCTTCTGTTCTCCAACAGGCAGGATCTTGATCTGAAGTAGTCCAAGTTAG